AAATTTATATTTTATTCAAAAAGAAAAACATTATCGTCTTCTCAAAGTCACATAAAACCGTATTATATCGACATAAATAAATAATAAAAACAAGACATTGAAATTGAAATATGTCTCGAACACCCTTCTAGTAACGTATAATGAGCACGGAAGTAGAAGATCGACAACACTTATAAAGATCAAAAAGACAATTGTGTTTTAATTTTTAGAGATTGAGTTTTGACTTACGTACGACGTCGGGGAAAAGTGATGATGGTTGGCATGACGGATCCAAGATTTTTGTTCAGTGGGGTCACGGTTAAGGTAACTAAAGACCCGCAAAATTGTTCGATGTGTTTTTAACCTAATTACAACGTTTTCGATGGAATTTTAAAGTTTTTTGGTTGATTTTAAGAGATTTTTGTAGTGTTTTTGTCGATTTTGAATAATTTTTTTGATTGATTTCAACAGGTTTTTTTGGTTAGAGTAATGGTTTCGATTGGGGTTGGGGGCCCGTGAAAAAATATAATTGGGGGGGGGGGGAAGTGAAAGGTTAATCATGTAAAACCTAAATTTTGACCTAAGAATTTTTATTTTTGAGTTTTTGACTGGGGTCCTTCCCCCCTCCTTCTTACCATTGCATCCGCCCCTGATGGTTGGTGACAGCTTGGTTTCACAGTTTTGTTTTTGATTAGGAAGATTTTGAGAGTACATCAAATACAGTTTTTATCGTTCTAGATTTAAATTAAAAAAAATTTAATCATAAAATATATTTAGCCAAATTAAACCCATTTGCATTTTCAACTTAAAAAAACTAAACAACTATTAAATTCTATCAAAAAAATGCATTTTTTTTCATACAATATGAAATTCAACATGTAACTCAATTGGTAAAAAAATAGAACGAATTTATTTAAATATAAAACTGTTAGGAGCTGTTTAATAATTGCTGAATAGTTTGGTGTAGAATAATTAAGTGGTCAGAATGATTAAGAGACTCTCATGATATAGTATAAAATGAAATATAATTGTTTGGTAATTGTATACAATGAAATTAGAGCTCTTAATGGTGAAGGGAGATCCATGATATAAAATCATTAAAAATGGTTTTAGAACTATTAAGAGGCAGACTTGTTTTTTGCCAAACAAGATTCATTTATTAACGATTCAAAGATTGCCTCTTAATAAAATTATTAAGAGGTAAATAAAATACCCTTATCTCATTCACTCAGTGAACCAACGTTAATCAAAATTTATAAATAAGTAATTATCAAACCAGATTTAGATTTTTTTTCCAACGTGGCCGCCACCGTACGAGCGCGACAGCGTGTAAAAAAAGCGCGTTGACCTTTTGTATTTCTGACTTTTTCAAACTTCTGTTTCTTCTAACAACTGCCTTCTCCATATATATCTCCTCTTGCTGCTTTGCTTCTCTCCACTCCTTAATTTATTTCTCTCTCAACTCCTTGCATCGCAATCCATCGAAACATAACCATTCCACCGATGCCGATATCCATCCACCTTCCGATGCTTCTCTTCATTTGCTTCCTGATCTCACCGACTATTCTCACCGCCAGACCGCTCATGGTGGAGCCGGAACTTAACCTAGCACTTCCAGGAGCTCTGATGGAGAAAATTAGTTCCGATTCTGATAGCGCTGTAGACAAGAAGCAAAACGTTCCATGTGAAATGAGTTCTGCAAACGATTTGAAGAGATTCGGAGCAGGAAATTATGGAAGTTTGTTTCTGAGCGCTCTTCCGAAAGGGATGACCGTGCCGCCGTCTGGACCAAGCGGGAGAACCAACGCCGTGAACAATTAACAGGTTGTTAATTCCATAGATTTATTTCGTTACCAGAAAAATATACAAGTAAGAAATATTTATAGAATTATAGATACAAATGGACTTGATCATCAAGTTACTTTGATTCGTTAAGTCTGTTTAGATCTCCCGAATTTGTTAGTTCGTTGTTCCTTGACATTCGTAGTCTTCAGATGTACATAATCTTTCTCCCTATACAATAATTCTGCGTGTTTAATTAATCATTGATTGATGCAACATAATCATTAATGATTACTGAAATTCATATCTTCATGATCGCAGTTCATCATCATGCTCTTGATTTTCATTTATACTTCATTTCATAATAGAAACCTCTTGTATTTTGTTGATAATCTCTCGGAGATATCTGTTTGCTTCTTTGATAAAGTCACCGGAAACTGTGAAAATCGAATCACACCATTCAGAAAATGCATAATGACATCTCATGTCAGATTTGATTCATGTAAACGAATAACTGAAATTCATAACCACGAGATCCAATCTATCCCAAATCTGATTAGTTTGTTGCCTCACGAAACAAAATTCAAACTCTACTCTACAAAATAGGCTGTCTAGCGTCTAGATTACTTTGCAATCTCCATTCCTATGCTTCTTCATTGTACCATAACTATTGATCGAAGTGGTTCATCATCATCGCTAATTGATGGATTATTTAGTTAAAGCTGTTTAGCGTGTTTGAAATGAGGAACACATAATTTAGTTAAACCTGTTTAGCGTGTTTGAATTTTGGAACACATATAATTAAATAACAAGTTAGCTTGCTTATATTTTTAGTTCATCGAATTAATGAAGTCACAGTCGACATCACCAGAATTTGATTCTGTTGATGATGCGTCGTTGTTTAATTTTTCGTTGAAAAGCTAATGTAAATTTTCCACAGGATGATGTATGCAAACTGGTTAGCTAGCGTTCAAAAATTAAGACTATAAAGTATTCAACAGATCAAAAATTAAGTCAAACCATCTCTAATTAGCAACTAACTACATGACTTTTTAAGTATCCAAAATCAAAATCAACGATTTCAAACACATGTTGAGCTTTTTTTTTAATCTTAAAAGACTTGTTCCTCGAGAATGTATTTGATTTGTAATTAATTATTTAAACTTGATTTTAAAATAATATTTTTGGAACTGTTGATTACTACAATTAGCAAAATTAAGAATGGCATATTTTTTTATGGATAACTTTAAAAAAGCATAGCCATGTCATTAAGTGCTAACCACGTGAGAGCTGTCACTCGTACTTACTGAGTAAAACTCTCAGTCCTTACTAGAGGTGGCCAAAATTCGGTCCCGGGCCGGGCCTTAACCGGTCCCTACCGGGCCTAATCGCGACAAAAACCGGCGGTAACCGGTCCCGACATAACC